TGCTCTGACCCAGAACTTGAGTTGTGCCTTCTTATCTTCCGCTGAACTAGGTACACAATTTGGAATGGGAGGAAGGCTTTGTACATGCCATTCCTCAGACAAACAAGGCCTCATCTGATCATGTTCCACGTCCTCCATCTTATTTTATTGCAAGCCTGGGAATATGTTAATAACACCTGGGCTCAACTCTTCTTTGTCAAATGTGAATCCTAAATCTTTGAACCCTTGCTGTTCCTGGAATGCAATATAGCTATGGCTTTTTTGCAGTATCTTCTGATATGAATACCGGCGTCTCATTTCCTGAATCACATTGCTATTGGTTTCCAACTCTAGATTTCTTGGTGGTCTACACCTTTGCACGCTACAACTTTGTCCCATGGCTTGCAAATGCAATGTTTGAATATTAGATAATGAATAAAGACAGATGCATATACAATTCACCTTTCAATATCATTGAAGCCAATATATGAGAATTCAGCAGAACTTTGCTAGCTTTAGCTCATTACATGAGTTATATTGAACATATAAAGATCAAATGAATCAAATTCAAGTGCCAAGTTATGCTGTTTTATTTATTTACTTATGACTATTCATCCGCCAATGCCAAAACTCAGAAGTAACCAAAATGCGGAAACTATGCATTTTATCAGTACCTTATTAGGACTGTGCCTTGGGGGAAAGACGTTAGAAGAGTTAATCAATGCTTGTCGAATCAATTTGCTCATTCTAATATCACTGTCATTATCTTGAATTAACTTTTTCCTCCCTATAGAAGTTGGCAAGGAAGGTATCTTTAGCAAATTACTTGGGGATGATTGTCCACTCAATTTGCTTTTCCTATCGGTTTTCTTTTCTTGAATCTCATGTATCTTTGTGCAAGTAGCTTTTGATTCTTGCAACGATAATTGCCTATTCAGTTTTCTCCTCCCACCATTGCTCTTCCTTTCTTAAACGTTTTCCTCCCTACGCGAATCGAACTACAATGAACTGAACCTTTGTTCTGAATCTTCTTTGTTGATTCTGAGCTTTGGCTACATGAATCTTTTGCCAAAACCTCTTTGATGAAGTTTGATGAAGTACAAGGATCAGAATAACATCTTAACATCCTTCTTCTCCTATTGCACAAGTTCTCAAAAAACCAAGACTCCTCCAAAAGATCAAGAGCTTCCACTTTCTGATCAGCTACATCGAAAGAAGACTCACAAATATCATGATCACTTTTCTCTATTTCCGTATTCACAAACTTCTAACCCTAGCAAACTGATATGAAAAGACCCAAATAGAGGATTCTTTTCATCTTTTCATTCTGTCATCTATTAGCTGAAACTGAAACTGATTAGGAAAAACCATGTGGAGTAAGGGGTTAGAACTTGAAGGAAAAGGCTTGGTGGACAGATTTGATATGCTTAGAACAAGAAAAATGAGCTAGAATTTCAAGTGAAATGTCTGAAAATTAATATGAGAAATGTTAACCAATGTTGTCTGGTGCAGTGCTATGAGAGGTGCTCCTCACACTACGTGCAATGTTGCACTTTACACTTGCCTATATGGTTTATTTTTCAAACCTTTATTCCATTTAACCATAATTATCATAGACATCCAGGATTATCATGTAAAAAAAAAAAAAAAAAGTTCTGGGGGCTATGCTTTAATTAACGTTTCTTGGTTAAAATACATGTAATGCTGTAGGATATAGGATGCTTTATCTGTTTTGGGATTTGTAAGTTTTTTTTTTTTAATTTATTATTATTATTATTATTTTTTACAGATCCATCGGTGAAATTAATATCTCCTGTTTAGTAACCCATGTAGTTTGTGAATTTCATCACAACAATCATCAGACGGGTTTTATGAATTTCATGCGCAGGGATAAAGAGGTACTTTGCGCTTTTATATTATTTTTTCCTAACATAATAGATTCCTGAATGTGTAAATGGTAGAACAACATAGATTTTTAACACTTGATTTTGATGTTTAAATTTTGATATAAAAGTTGCAAAATGAGAATTTAAAATAATTATCAAATTTTCGTAATCCAATAAATAAAATAAAATAGGTATCATAGAATTTTTTGCTATTTTTAAAATAAAATAAATAAATAAATAAAAAATATCACTACTTTCTTATGTCCTTCCAATAATTCGACTTCATATTTTTGTTTCGTAATATTAATAGATAAAATATAAATAAAGTAGAGCATTCTTCATTTTTATCTTTGAATTTTTATATCATACTTTTAATAAATATTTTAAATTTATTTTTATCTTTATCTTTACGAATATTTAATAAATATGAATAATCTTCATATTTATAATTAAAAAAATAAAATCCAAAATTTGTTTTCTTAATTTTTTGTTTTTATCTTATATATTTAAATAATCTTTTATAAATATATATACATTAATATATATTTTTTCAATAAAAATATATTAATTCAAATTAATTTAAAATAATAATTTATATTATTTAATAAAAATTTATTTACTAAGTATATATAAATATATATGTAAGATATAAGTACTAAACATATATCATATTACATATTAATATCTTTATATCTAATAAAAATTTAAAATAATACATATCTCAATTTTCATGTTCACAATATAATATTTTTTTAATTTTTATTTGAATAAAATATTAATTTTTTTAAAAATATAAATAAAATTGACAACTTTATTTTTGTTAAAAAGAAAATAATCTATCTAACTAATATAAAGATTATATATCAATAAAGTTTTTGTAATATCTCATTTTTAATATACTTTTAAAAGCAAATACTTAGTGCATTATTGCATGTCTTTATTTGTCCAAATGATCAAATTATGCCAAAAGTTTTTGTATCATACAAAAATTTAAAATTTAATCTCTTTATATAATTCACATTAATTTAATCTTTATATTGTTTTAATTTAATAATTTAATTCCATCGTAACTTTATCTTATTTTTTCGGTAACTTTACTAATTAACATTTGATCATTGTTGACGAAAATGAGGTGGCATTTTCGTTGGTACGTCATATTAAATTTTAAGAATTTATTTACTTTTAAAAATATTAATAACTCATATTTAATTTTTAAACCTTTAAAAATAAAAACGAGTTTGAAGTCCATTAAAGAGCCAGCAACCATCAAACCCAGATTCCGGTGAGCGACTATCTCATCAGCCGGCATTGACCGCCGTATACCCGCAACGAAATGTCACAAAATCTATTTGGAAATTCCCCTTTATCTCCTCTACAGTCTCAGATTTCTCAAAAAACCATCTTTTTAACGAAAAACCAAAAAAATCCAATTCCTAAAAGCCTATCTGCCGCCATCGGCACCTCCGATGACCACCAAACTTACTCCGAACCTTCCCTTCACCCTCCCCTAGGTTTTCACACCGTTGAGATTTGAAAAATATTTCCTAAAACCCCTCGAAACAGGAATTACCAAATCCTAGCGTTCCCAAACTTTGTCTGAGGTTTCCACTCATAGCTTTCACTTTCACCATGCTTAAAAGGGCTTTTCATTACCGGCTGTAGAAAACTCCAAAAGGGCTTAACCATCTGCACCCTCCAATAAATAAAACAATCAAACGATCACAACCATCAAACAACCCTCTAATGTTTTAAGAAACCATCCTCCTATATCACCAACCAAAAAGTTGATCACCCTAATCGCAGACTCAAAACTAGTAAGACCAGCAAAGAAAGAGACACCTCAATTATTACACCTGTTTAGCATGCATTTGGAGATTTGGGGATTGTCGATTTGATTTCTTGGTTAGGGTTGACTACGGTTCCTTTTCGATCTTTTTTTTTTTTGACAAAGTTTGTTTTTTTAATTGGTTTAGTTAATTAAAATTAATTTTGAAAATAAAAGCAAAGTTAAAAAATTATTTTTAACGTTTATTGCTACGTGGATTAAAACTTATGCCACAGGTGTATGATTTTAATCCATGTCAACGACCTTTTAAATTTTAGCAAATTAAAATGTCATATAGTCAATGGACACATAAAATAATCAAATGCCACGTCAGGTTAATTAATATAAAAATAAATAAAATTATTAATTAATTAAAATATATTAAATTAAATTTATATAAATCAAAAAAAAAATTAAACTAAAATTTTATAAATTAAAGACTTAACTTGCATAATTTATATGTATTCAATATCGCGTGATATTCTTGTAGATATTCTTGTACGCCGGATAACAAGTTTTGTGATTAAAAAATAAGATGAGGTTGCTTTGTCTAAATTCGAGTGTTAAAATACGACCGCCAAAATAGCTGTGCATAGCATTCGTCGGATATCATTTTTATACACAACGGTAAATAGTACGATCAAGACTTTGATAATTGATATAATTTCAGTTTCAAGACTTTGATAATTGATATAATTTCAGTTTCGAATTTTTTGAGTGATAGAATTTTGATAATATTATTTGATATTATGATAATAACGTGTAAATCAATTAAATTTGATAATATAATATCAATCATAAGCTTTTCATATATTAAACATGAAATCTTTATTGCTTATTTAGACACGTGTCTGGTGCTGCTGTAGTGGCCGTGTCCTCGTCACGTGGCGCATTCAGTCACGTTCCTTCAAAATGATGCTTTTAGCCTCCATTATCGTGACACATGTAATAGTGTTTGGTTTGGTTATTTTCTTGGATATATAGGCATTTTTAAAATTTTAAAATTTAATTTGAATTTAAATTATTTTCTTAAAAAATTAAATTTATCTAAATTGAATTTTATTTATTTAATTTAATTTGATTCATTAATTTTAAAAATTATTTAAAATATATATCAAATGTGAAAATTTTAAACTTTGTATATTTAACTATCACGGTTAAAAAAAAAAGTGCGTACTCAATAAATTTTCAATTATAATATAGTTTATGATAAATTCTTTAAAAAATATTCATCTTTTTACAATCAAATTAATTTACAATTTTAATAAAAAATATTAAAAATTCAACTTTCTTTTTTTTTGGATCCGAGGATCAGGAACAACTGCAACTAACCATATCTAGCTAGTACAATTACAATTATAAATACTTGGTTTCAAAATTTAGATTGTAGAGCTGTACTTTTCCGCAAAAGATTTCGCTATTTAGTTAATTAGAGATCTGGTCAACAATTTTATCCTGAAATTTCGACTACTTTGATTTTCACATAGCCTTCGTCACCTATAGCCAGAAATCAAAGCAGAACCCTTGCTGCAGCATCACCAACAAAAAAAAAATGCCAGAAACCAACAGTTCGGACATTCACATCCTCATGTTTGCATGGTTTGCCTTTGGTCACATGACTCCATTTCTCCACCTTGCTAACAAGCTGGCTAAAAGGGGTCATAGGATAACTTTCGTATTACCGAAAAAAGCTGTGAACCAATTGGAACATTTGAACCACTATCCTGATTTAATCTCTTTCCATCCTGTTACTGTTCCTTCAGTCACTGGTCTCCCTCCTGGTACCGAGACTTGCTCTGATATCCCCATTTTCTTGACCCATTTCCTCTCCATTGCCATGGACCTTACCAGGGATCAAGTTGAAAGTGTCATGACTTCGATTAAACCGAAGCTGGTTTTTTATGATACTGCTCACTGGATTCCTGACATAGCCAAACCACTTGGGATCAAAACTATATGTTTCAAAGTTGTTTGTGCTGCATCACTAGCTATTGTTTTGGTTCCAGCACGAAATCTGACCAGCGAAAGGCCTATAACTGAGGCTGAATTGGCTGAGCCACCACCTGGTTACCCTTCTACTTCGGTAGTGTTGCGTGGCCGTGAAGTCCAGTCTTTGTTATTTGTATCAAACCCTTTTGGAGAAGGAATAACGTTTCACGAGAGAATCACCTTGGCATTGAAGAATTGTGATGCTATATCATTAAGGACTTGTCGTGAAGTTGAAGGGAAGTTTTGTGATTATCTTGGAAGTCAGTATGAGAAACCAGTTCTTTTAACAGGTCCAGTTTTGCCTGAAGAGTCCGAGTCTCCATTGGATGAACGATGGGGTAATTGGTTAGCCGGATTTGAACCAGGTTCAGTGGTGTATTGTTCCTTTGGGAGCCAGATCATTCTTGGAAAGACTCAGTTCCAGGAACTTATGTTAGGGTTTGAGCTAACAGGGCTTCCCTTTTTCGTCGCCTTAAAGCCACCGTTGGAGGCTGCAACAATTGAAGAAGCACTGCCTGAAGGGTTTGAAGAGAGGGTTAAAGGAAGAGGAGTGGTTTGGGGTGGATGGGTGCAGCAACCATTGATGTTGGCTCACCCATCAGTCGGATGTTTTGTTAGCCATTGTGGGTTTGGTTCAATGTGGGAGTCTTTGATGAGTGATTGCCAAATAGTGTTGGTTCCCCAATTGGGTGACCAAATCTTGAATGCTAGGCTAATGACTGCTGAGCTCAAGCTTGCTGTGGAGGTTAAAAGAGAAGAAAATGGATGGCTTTCAAAGGAGAATTTGAGCGAAGCGATCAAATCTGTGATGGATAAGGACAGTGAAGTGGGTAAGTCGGTGAAGGAGAATCATAAGAAGTGGAGAGATACATTAAACCCTGAATTGATGAATGGTTACATCGATAAGTTCGTCCAAGGCATGCATGAACTTGTAGAGTGAAGCACCATACGGAAGAGAATGCCCAAAAATATGGCCAGAGAACTTGGAAGCAGCACCCAAATGCCATGGATATCTGTCCCATAGCTTGCTTATCTTGTGTTATAATTCATGATCAACTGTTCTAGATGCTTTTTAGTTGCAGCTGTTTTATGAACTTGAAGGGGGGGGGGGGTGAGAGAAACAATTAGTTCAATAAATTCTTGTTTATTTATGGAGGAAAGATAAGATTTTTAAAAGGGGTTATCAAGAGAATTTTCCAATTAATTTTGCATTGAAACAAAGTTGTAACATGTTCCTTTAGAGCAGCATGAGAAATTTGCAATTAATTTAACATGTATTTTTTAATATATATATATAACTAAGGCTTCTCTCCGCTACTTTTAATATATTTTTAAATATCATTAATATGTGTAGGATCTGTTTATGAATTATAATTAAAAATATATTAAAAAATAATTGACCAAATACTAATAGAGGGAATTAAGCAAGATCCTATTGTATAACCCAAGTCCAATGGAAGTGATAATAGCACTTGAAGGCTTGATTTAATAATAGGTGCATGTATCACTTCATTTCTCTTACTACAAAAGTTGAGTTCAAAACTTGACAAGTTAAAAAAAAAATTGACGGGAAACGTTTTTCCTTTAAAAAATCCTTTGCCTACGAAAATTCCAAGCACAAATCACTAGTTAATTTTAGTAGAGGGAATGCAAACCACTTTTTGATGTGGATGGGATGCGATGAGATGATGATAAACTGGATTGTATGTTCCCTGAGGAGACTGCACGAGAAGTAAGAGCTATTCCTATTAGCTTGAGTGGCCAACAAGACGTCATGGTTTGGCATTACACCGAGCAGAGCTTTCACTGTGAGAAGCGGATATCACATGCGGGTATCAAGAGAATTTCGCACAAGTCGGTGAAGCGGATACTGGAAGTACATGAAACAACGTCATGGGCTCATTCTGGAAACGGGCATGGCATTTGCCGATACCAACTAAAATGAGAATGTTTGAGTTACTACCATTGCACGAAAAGCTACAAGGGAGAAGCATTATGGAACACTCGAGATGCAGCTGAGGTAGAGGAAACCGTTATGGATGCTATCAGAGACACTGCATGCAAAGGAGATCTAGAGTCTTGCGCGACAAAATGGTGATTGGCAGAATAATCAGGTAGATAACGTCAAACAGTGGTTGTCTTGGGCGGCTGAAAGTTTGAACAAGGAGGATTTTGGTAAATTTGCTATGTTATGCTGGGCAGTCTAGGAAGCCAGGAACAAAATAGCTAAAAATAATATGACAAGAACTGCTCATGCTACGATGACATTCGTGCAACAGTACTTGGAAAAACTATCACAGGGCTCAGGAACGGAATGAGGTGACAAAAAAAAAAAAAGAATACCAGATAAATGGCAGGCACCAACGAAGGATTGCTGAAAAATAGCTTCGATATGGCTCTAGAAAGGGAGGAAAATCGAGCAAGCATCGGGGTTATTACAAGAACCACTAGGGTGAGGTGCGAGGAGCTTTTGTATGACTGTAAATGGCATAAAAAATCCAGAAATTATTTAAGGAATGGCAATGGTAAGAGCAGCAAAGTTTGCATGGAGCATGGGAGTTCATAAAGTAGTTTTAGAGGGAGATGCACTTACAATCACCTCACAGATCACTCAAGTTAAGGGAACCAATCTCTCTAGAATAGGGAATCTCATGGAAGTCACCAGAATGGAACTGATAAAGCTGGCAGAATGGAAAATTTCTCATAAACATCGAGAAGCAAATGGGGTGGCTCACAGTTAGCAAAGATGGCATTGGTTAGGAAGGAAAATCTAATCTGGCAGGATGGATTTCCAGATGAAATTTATGATATTGTACTACAGGAAAGTTGTACTTCAAGTTAATGAATCCATGTTTCTTTCTTTCTTTCAAAAAAAATGCTATTCCAACATACTAAGAATGAGAAGAGGAATGAGCATCATGGGAGAGGAAAAATAACATTAACTATTCTTGTTCCCTCTTTATTGCATGCAATGAAGAAGAAAAGCTTAAATATTTGAATTATGAAGATAATAAGCATGAATTGATTACAGGGTCAAGTTGCCGAGAGAACAAGCATTTCTGATCTACTTTCAAGTGTCAAGCAGGAGTGCATCAAGATTTCGTTTTCCCTCGGGTCCCTTTGAGTACCATGATGATACGTAGTCTCCATAAACAATCGAAGAGTAGTGAGGTGGGGAAGACTGACTCACTAGATCAGAGGCAGGGGATACTCTCACTTCCTTGGCTGGGTCATGAAAACAGGCAACAGAGAGACGGGCTTTGCTTGCATTTGTTACAGCACGATGCACAGAGCTTCTGTATTTCCCATTAGTTATAATCTGCGGGCAAGGCAATTTCCAATACATCAAATATTTATGATCCTCAACATTCATTATTAATGGTATGATGCATTAATACTTAATAGATTATTAAAAAGATCAGTAACACCTCAGTTTGGTCAGCCAGAAGAACAAGGATGGCATCAGGCAAAGGCTGGACAGTGAGCCACTCTCCATCCTTGAGCACCTGAAGACCACCCACATCGTCCTGTATTAGAAGGGTGATGGAACCCATATCAGAATGTGATTGGAGGCCCAACGTCAGCTCTGGCTGGGGACAAGGAGGGTAATAACTGGCTGTTATGTTCTGATAGAATTCCCCAACTGCGTCTTCTATGCAGGATGCCCTCAGTCCTAAACTCTCAGATATCAACCTCAACAGTCTCCGAGCCAACACTATCATCTCATCACTATAATCAGCCACCAATGTTCTAGAGAAACATGAATTAAGTTAAGAACACCTAAAGAATATTAATAAATGTCATTGGCTTTAGAAAATGAAACAATCAACGTACCTGTATTCAGGAGGAAAATGGGGCCAAAAAGAGGGATTGCGGCGTGAAAGAGGAAGGGTATGGTGATCAAAATAGTCCCTCCAATCCAACACAGTGTCATTTTGAGAGCTTACTAGCATACGGCTACCATAACCCTGGGAGGCAGCAGAATTAGGCTGGCAAGCATATTTAAGTTTGTCCTCCATTGGGAAATCATTGAAAAAAGAAAGACAGACTCTCCTCAAATCATCCATCAGTTTTGTAGGTACCCCGTGGTTGATAACATGAAAAGCTCCCCATTCCCTGCAAGCCTCTCGAATGTCTGCTATGACAGACTCCTTTTCATGAGATAGATCAATGGCAGGGACATTGCTGCAGCTCAAACTAGTTAAAATATTAGAAATAGGTGTAAGCCGGTTCTCGGGAGGTTGGATGTACTGTGATGGAACCTCTGAAATGCCCGCTTGCGAAAGAATTTGCACCCTTACTGCCCCTTCCATTTTCCTCGAAGAATGATAATGAAAAACAATGGTGGTGGCTTCAGCCTCGAATTCCTTTTCTTCGACTTCTTGGTTATTTATAGGCCTATATAGCCAAAACCCTGTCCAGGTCAGATAATCTGGCAATCCCAACATATCATGTATATATTTTACCATAATTGTAAAAACAAAACACACGGAAACCAGATTCATAGTTAAAACCTGTATGATATTTTAAACACACTTCCATAATAGATGCCAACAACATAGACAACTCTGCCCAGAAATCAATTGTATTAAATTTGTTTGATTAGTTTTGGCAGGAAAAAAGTTTTTGGAATCTGGGTAAAATAATCCTGTCATATCAAAGAAATTGAACTACAAACAGAATATATCAAACAGACTGACCTGCAGCAAACTTCGAATAAAGATTGGTGAACACGGAGAGACCAGCCTCTAAGAAATCATCGAACACTAAGAAGCTGGTACGAGCACAAATGGACGGAAGATAAGCCCAAGCTTTTTATATTAATTTTTCCTTTTCTGATTGTGGGTTGGCCTGTTTGGTCAACTGGGCTAAGTTTTAATTTTTTAATTAATAATTTTAATAATAATAATAATAATCTATTATTGTTTTTAATAATAATAATATCCTTTTGCACATTTTTTTTTCTTCTGATAAACCCTTGGTTTTCTTTTTCAAAACGTCTTGGTATTTTTTTTTTTTTCAAAATTTGTTGGTATGTATTTCTGTCAATCATTCCTTAATTTTTTTCACTTTGATATCTTCTCATCCATTGTGAATAAAATTTTTAAATTCCATCAACTTAATTAAAAGGGTAAAATATCTCCTTTTAAAATATATCAAGAAATAAAAACCAAAACAATATAAAAATATATATTATCAATCTCTTAATTTTACTTAGTAAAATTCTATTAACATTGTATTAAAAATGAACCATTTATTTTTTATATAAGCTTATTTCCCACCCAGCACCCAAAAAGGGAAAGCTTTGGTTTAGAGTTTAAGGGCTTAAATATTATTTTCCATAAGACATCTTTATTGTTGTAGATGACTTTGATATGTAAAAGTTTCATGCCAATGTGAAGGTGGCTGAAAAAAAGAACTAATAGCAAATAATCAGCACTTGAAAGACAGCTACCCAATCGCCAACAAAACATGCTTCAATCATGAAGCAGCTTTGATGAACCTAGTCCGGAACAATGCTGCAATATATTTATCCAGCATCGGCATCCATGAACATGCAAGGAATTTTCTATTGCTCTGACAGGCAAGGCAAGGCAAAAGCATTGAAAAATGGTTCAATCCGATAGCTAAAGCACCCCCCCCCCCCCCCCAACTGAAACGTCACCATATGCATAAATATCACGTTCAGGGATTGCAAGGAACCTAAACGGTAAGCACATTTGCAGATGCAATGACTACAATATTGAAAGAAAAAAAACTTGAGCCAGAAAATTACAGCAGTTAGGGCTTACCTTTCGTCGAAATCAACAGATATCAATGGATAACTTGCAGAAAGCAAAAGAATGCAATAAGACGACAAACACCAGAATGACAAACCTTCATTGGAATATATTATCATGTGATGGCCATAAGAGAACATACTTACAGTACTCGGAGGTGCAGTAACTAGGATGATATTTACATGGTATATAGGTTAGCTTCCACCCTGGAGAAATAAAATTTGGGGAAGCAGTTTGTTTAGGAAGAAAGTAAGACCATTCTAGTATGCCTCATGGAAGAAGATATGATAACAATGCTGTCTTAAGGAAATGCTCAGCCAACAAAATTTGATTATAATCTCCATAGAAACTCACCTTGCCACAGCTAGACAAATCCGTTGTAAAAGCCAAAATCAATCAAAAGGCTGCTTTGTCATTAATATAGACTCTATAAGGGAACAAAGGCACAATGTATCGAATTTACAGTGAAATGAAACTTCTTTGTTAGAATCTATAGGAACCATCACTTCATCTCTGTAAACAAATTTTGGATCAAAGCCAACTTGGATGTTTGGAGAGGTGGTGCCTACAGAGTGACAGTTACATTGTGTTGGAATAACTAAACTATTTTCTGAGCTTTTGCAAAGACATGTGCCCCACTCTGGACGGTTAGATAACTTTCCATGAATTTCATTTCTCAGGTTCTCATCCAATTTATTGCTGCTACATCCAGCAGCATAAACTTTCATAACTGTTGAAAGAAGATCCACAGACAATAACGCAACTGTATCATGAACATCATCTACCGTCCAATGGCACCCATCTGATTTCCATTCTTTAAGCAAAATTTTTTGCATCAAGCTAAGGAGGGTATGTAGGCAGTCAGAGCAGCAATGATAAAAGCAAATAACCCCAGATTCAGCTGGAAGAGCAGTTTCACTTAAAGGGAAATTTGGATCTTCTTTGTATTCATGATCTTCAGGCTTGCCATCTTCAGATGTGATAGTAATCTCTGTTTCAGAAGCATTAATCTGGTTGCAAGTTTTCCCAGAGCCAGAGAACTTTGCACCAACCAGTTCATCTGAACTACAGAATCCATTCGCAAAAAGAACAGATTCTCGAGGTGCAAATCTATTAGATTGTTTTGATGACCCAAGATCTCCCTCAAGCATAGGATTTCTAGTACTTACTGACCCACTCGGTCCAGGCTTTGTCCCATTCTGCTTGTCTACAAGAACTGGATCACTGGCCACAGAAACGTTATGGTGCTCCACTGAAGTAGTATTACCACTGAGGCTTATTATATTTTCTACAATTTCTTCCACAGGACCAATTTTTCCCTCATGACTAAAAGCACAATCATCATCCATCTTGTTCAAGTCAATGCAGTCTATATTTTGCACAGTTAATTCTCCCTCAACCATAGGATTCCTAGAACTTTCTGACCCACATAGTCCAGGATTTCTCCCATTCTGCTCATCTACATGAACAATCAGTTGGTTGGCCAGAGAAGAATTAAGATGCTCCTCTGAAGTAGTATTACCAATGGGGCCTATCCCCTGTGGAGCTTCTTCAAAAAATTTAACTTTTCCCGTGTGATTAGGAGCACAATAGTCATCCTTTTTGTTTAAGTCAATGAAATCAGTATTTTGCATGGTGAATTCCTTAGTATTTGCACCCAGACCTTCTGATTCATAGCAGCTTCTGGGCCCATATTCCTTAATTTGATCTGCATCATTCACACATGTAAAATGATTATCTGGAGATCCCGAAGCATATGGTTTGGGGCTTTGTGCTTTTATTTGGACATCCTGATCTAAACTGCAAATGAATCAAGTTTCTTGTTAGATGAAAATCAATACACATATATGAACCAACAAGTAAATAAGCAATTTGAAAAAAGGTACCTCTGCAGTGAATACACCCAGCTGTTAACCATATCTTCCAGATAAGCAACTTGAGACAAAATACGAACATATTGATATCGGTCTTTTCCAGTGTTAACTTTAACATTAATCCACCTAACTAGGAGCTCAAGAACCTTCCGTACCTCAGAGGAAACTTCTCTAAGTGACATGTACAAGCCTCTGTATGCTGATAAACCAACAGCAACCAGACCTCTGACTAAACCAAACTTCTCTTTGCTTTTAATGCTGCTGGACCCACAAGCAACACCTGTCTCGTCTAATGAATTGGTGGGACGAATAATACAAGAGTTGAATGGCCAGCCCTTCCAGGGACCAACTATGTCTGCAAAAGGACCTTCTTTAAGTTTTGATGTCACCCAGCAAAGCTCTGCAAAATGAGGATATCGCAAAATTTGATAGCCAAATGAAGATATTGCCAGAATCAGGCTTGATTTACCCTTCAAATTTCTACTGCTGATTGGTGGTGCTGGCACTGTAACAGACAAATCACCACAAGATTGTGATTCAAACCCGGCCAAACCATGAGAGGTGTTGTCATTTTCTGCAAGTGCATAGGTTTGGACAAAATTTTTTGTTTTAGAATCTTCATGGACGTGTGATCTTTGATGAATTAAATGAACAAACGTTTGAAGGATATCCCTTGATAACTCTGCAGCAGATAGTTTGATAACCATATCATGGTTGAAATTCCTGCCAACATACACAGTGAATCTGGGTACCGTGCACTCTAATGTAGTTTTCTGACTGCAATTTTGTAGATCACTCTTAAAAAATTCCCTTATTCTATCAGGGAGTTCCAGATGTGGAACTTCTGAAGTAGCCTGTTGGGAGATAAGAAGCATTAAGACTTAGGCATGCTTGCAAGAAGATGTCAAACCAGTAAGTGAAGGAGTTAGGGGGATGGGGGCTCGTATCTTAAAGAGAGAAAATTCTGATTGAATAAGTGACCAGACTGAAATACTAACACGTTTATAAAAACAGGCTTCACAATGTCCTAAATGCAGTAAAATGACCACAGCATGAAGTTTTAAGCAGCATGTTTCAAGTTTGTATTTTAGTTTGATGAGTCAATCTACTTTATGTCATGTTCCCAGAAAAGAAGCTCTACTGTAGAGCTTTCTCAAACGCAGGTAAGTCAACTCTCCAATTCTACCTGAATCATTCAGCTACAACAAGCTGCTAATCAGTAACTATCAAACTAACATAAACTGTAAAACGGAAGAAATTTTATAAGATAGTGATACATGTCTAAGCACTTAGATCTAAACAAAGTCAACCAAGTGCTGATATGCCCCATCTAACACTAGCCAAATCAAAGCAACCCAAGAAACTGTTGAAGACAATAGAAATAGAAATAAGATATCCAGGTTATTTAAAAAAAACTACTTTCATTTCTAATCTCTGCAAGTAAAGCCTAGCTACTCAAGCAACAAAATAAACTATTAGATCATGAAATGCAAATAAATAAATGAAAATAATTCATACCAGAATTATCAAGGATGTAGACACACAAATAGATTCCACTTGCTCAACAAATAAGCTCCAGGCATGAGAGACGCTCTGAACAGTAGCAGTAGCCACCACTGTGTCTGCCAACTCAGATTGCTGCAGAGAGGATCCATTTTCCTTTTCAACAAGTTGAGGATCTTCCTCCATGGGTGCTTGATGGAATGTTGAAGATGAAATGCTCTCCTCAGCAACTTGATTAATGGTTTCCACAGCCCACAAATCTATTCCTGGCATAAAAAGTACACTTGATCCCATACTTGCACATTTCACTGCCATGGAAATTGAATAGCTTGTAAGGCTTTTTCAGATGAATTCGATATAGTAACATTTAGTCTAACATTCACACAACAAATTTCTTTTGAGCTTAAAACACATGGTGTGAAAAGGATGGAATAAATGCTTAAAACATGATCCACGAAGCCTAGTCATTTTCATACATGCTCGCTGAACCCCTTACACACCATTAAGCTACCGGCTACAAGAGGATAAAGAATGACAAAAGAATATTCCTACATTATAGAAGCACCAAACAGCCTAAAACATGATTGAAGAAGCATAGATGGCAAAAAGCAGGTCGGGAAACACATGAGAAAGGGTAGAAGTCTGCAACACAATAATCTATCTCGTGTTATTTAAAAGTAAATAGGAATTACCAAAGAACTAGTGCTACCTACAACAAAATGATAAAGTACGTGGAACATACTCAAAATTTGAGTTACTCCATGAATAAAGTCACCACTTCCTTCTTGTACAATTGTAGCTAAATCAACTTTCTGTATTTCAACATTCCCAATGAAACAGTGAAGAAGACAAGAAGCAAGATGCTTTTGGCCGGACCTGGGACTTCCAGCAATTAATATTCTAAACCCCATTTTCCTTGTTGAAGTAAAATAGGTATTTTGTGTCAAACTAGAGCACGTGCTACCATTACGCACTATTGAAGGTTCAAACTTGGCAACACAATCACTAATATCACCTATGAAAGCATCATAATCAGCAAAGCTAGTCTCTCCAGTTAACATTCCAGCACATGATAGCCTTCTCTCTATCTCCTTAATAACTTCTCCTTCTTGAAGAAGATCATGAACATGGGACCACCAATGATCCTTGGGCAGTCTTTTGTCATGCAATGTGGAAAAAATCACACTCTCAATCACAGCACCACCTTTAGAAAGAAGAGGTGGCAACCAGAGGCGTTCATCCAAATGGAGTGAAACAAGCAAGGTGGATAATGGTTCTAAGAGACAAGGAGTGAGATGCGTAGGAAGAGGTGAGGCAACTAAATCATTAGCAGCCATTCCTGCTTCCCTGACGTGAGCAAGGAGGTGGAGAACAAGACAAACCTTCCAACCAATCCCTTTCCTCAACTGTGACAGTAGGAAGAGGAACACGTTTAGCACTGGGAGTTTTCTCTTCAGCAGCAGATAAAATTTCTTGCAAAGGAAAATTCCTCTTCAAAGCAATAACAGCTGCTTGAGTACAAAGAGCCTGCAAATCTGCACCAGCAAAGCCTACTGTCTTTCTTGCAACCCATTTGAGCAAAGATCCAGTAACTGGTTTTGGCCATTTTTTAGTATGAAGTTCAAGGATTGCAACCCTGTCCTCCAATGATGGCAGTGGAAAATAAATCTCTCGATCAAATCTCCCCGGCCTCCTCAATGCAGGATCAACAGCATCAGGGCGATTAGTTGCACCTATCACCACAACTGAACCTCGGGACTTTAAACCATCCAACAGAGCAAGCAATGTGGAGACAACTGAACTATGTGTTTGATCTTGCTGCCTAGTCCGTCGAGGTGCTAAGCCATCTATCTCATCAAAGAATATTATAGAAGGTTGACATCTCTCAGCAATCTGGAACAAGAGCCTCAGCTGACGTTCAGCATCACCAACATATTTTCCTAAGCAGTCAGCACCTTTGCGGGCAAAATATGCAATCCGTTTATCCCCACGAGCACAAGAACCAATCAGTGCTCGCACTACAAGAGTTTTACCTGTTCCAGGATAGCCATGCAAAAGAACACCTCTGGGTGGTGTAAGCCCCAGATTGTCAAAGAACTCGGGATACAACAGTGGTAAGATGACAACTTCCTTCATGCATTGGATAACATCCTGCAAGCCAGCAACAGATTCCCAACCCTCAAAAGATTTCATGCCATCAGACTCTGAGCCTCCAATATAAACAGGTGCTATTCTTAACAAATCTCGATGAAGTCTCTTGCTCTCACGTTTCAGGAACTCTTCATCCTCACCACAATGCTCCAACCATTTTTCTTCAGCTTCAATATCCTTTCGCCATGCATCATTTGATACCTTCCTCATTTCCAACTTCATTTTCTTACCTTTCATTTTCTTTATCTGGGCTAAATATTGAATACCATGTGGTTGGAAGAGATGCCTATGATCAGTGCAGGCTATGAGAAATTTGCGATGATCAAAGATACAGCCATTTGCTCTTGCACAAGGCTGTAAAAAATAGAATGTCATCAATTAGAAAGTAACATGAACATCTTGCTTTTTCTCAAACAAAAATTGAAGCAGCAGGGAAGGGGAGTATGCATTGACGGAGATTTCTTTAGACAATAGATATCAAGAAACAAACCAAGTGATATGTTCTAGGACACCGATCAACACGACATCCAATTGTTGCTCCTGGCCTCCCGCATCTGCTGCATTTTAATGCTCTTCCTCTACAAAGTGCTGCCCTAACATTTTTTAAGCAGCCCAAGCCAGCAAAATAAACCTAAAGAAAAGAACATAAATAAAAGGGGATATACAGCGGAATAATGATAAGTTAAAGGAGAAATTAATGGGTGATAGAGATTGTAGACTTCCAGAACCAATTCCTTAATTGCCTAAAATCATAAGGGATTAAAACTAAGAGAATGGTTGGCATATAGAAAAGTGAATGTTGTTAAAAGGGGAAAATTTTAGAAGGAAACTATAAATGGTTAAGAAGTTATGGTAAAAAACAAGGGTGCATCAAAAGTGCAAAACAAGCTACAGTAACAACAGTGGACATCCACAATACTTAAAGATCCTATAGCTGTCAGAGGAAGAAATAATAGTTGATAAAATCAGCATGAATATATGTATAATGAATGCATACACATACATGCAGTAAAGAGGCAATTAATAAGTTAAGAATTTGGAAAAAAAAGAACTTCACCTCAGGACTCCATACTGCACAGTTTTGATGAACCCAGATTCCAGCAATACCATAACGATCATTTATAGGACCCAGGAGATGACCAAGCCACCCAGGTTCATCACCAAACCCATCCCAAATATCATAGTTTGGTTCCTCTGAAGCTGAAGAGCTGTATGCTTCATTTTCACTATCACCTGCATTATGGGCCAGCTTCTTTGGGGGTTTGCCGTCAGTCCAACCACCGCACAAACCACACCTTCTCCCTTGTTTGATACGTCGCTTGCCAGTTGTATCAGCAGCTGCTTGATTTGACTCTTCTACCTTCATATCATTCTGATGTTCTAAAGGTTTTTCAGCAACCTTCACCAATCCATCATCTTTTGCATCCTGAACACCACCATCCTCAACTTCCTCTAGAACATTATCTACTTCTACAACATCCTCTTCATTTGCTCTTTCATTCTGACATTCTAACTGTTGAACTTGTTCTTCACTCAGCTCCACTCTTTCAATTGTTTCAGTTACCTCAACATTTTCATGGCCAATGCACCCCTCCTCTGATTGTATACAATTTGATACTTCTCTATCGTCTTCTTTAACCACCTCAACCACATTGCCATGCAACCACGTGTCATTTCCAAGACTCAGTTCACTCTTTAAAACTACTGGACCCTCCACAACCTCATCCCTCCTATCATTTCCATGACTCATTTCACTTTCTAAAACAGGTGCACCCTCCACCACTACATCACCTTTAATTTCTTCTGTTTTTACCCCCCTTTTGTGTTCCACTTGACAAATCTCCACCGCTTCTTCACTCCCTGAACTACTCACCGCCTTAATCCTCCACGGCCTCTTGGATTTCACTACCATCATTTCCCCCACATCCAGTTCACCCTCCTCCTGCTCCTCCTGCTCCTCCTCACTCCCACCTATATGCTCAAAAAGCTTTCTCCTACTCGGAAAAACTCTCTCCTCTGCCTTCACTTTGACACTCACATTCCTTGCCCTTGTCCTCAACCTTGACCTCCAACTCCCCAGTGTCTGCACATCCCTCGTCTCCTCCTCCCCCTCCTCCTCCTTCACACTCCCTAACCTCCTCCTGTCCGGACCAAACCTCCCATTCTTCCCAATCTTCCGCCTTTTCTTTGGAGGTGGAGGTGACACATCCAAAATAACTGGCGCTCTCCTAACCCTTGAGCTCCTACGGAGCTCCAAATCCACACTCTCCGACCCACCAACACCATTCCCCTCATTCCCCTCTCCATGATTTCTATTATACTCTTTCTCACATATTGCATCTAATCTTTTATGCTTTGTTTGAATCCTAGTACCCGATTTTTGGCCAAAATCCTTCCGTTTCGATGAAGAAATCGAGGTCGATGATAATTGCATGACCAAAACCCCACAAAATATATAAAAACCTCTATTTTGTAAATCAAATTACAGCGAAACTTCCATATATATATTATATCATATAACATTAATTTAAAAGATTTAGGTAAATGGGCATTCAACTAATGATCCATGTTTCAGTTTTCTCAATTGGATGCTTCAATAAAGCAATGATTTTAGAAGATAGATAAAACCGATCGAACTCAATACTTAACTCACCGGGGGAGACGCTGAGTTGGATCGTTCCGAATAGGAAATCGAAAATGAAGAGAATCCCTTGAAGTAAAGCCGCATAGAAATCAATTTAGGAGAAAAAATTTTGGGTTTTGATTCGCTTCTAGTTTTGGTTTCTTTTTTTTTATTTTCTTTCAGATGAAAAAGGAGACTATACGGCGTTCAGAGAACGGAAAATACTGACATTTTAGATTAATAATTTCTGTTCATCTTCACGCGCGTTGAAGGACGTGATTTGTATGATTGTGTGGGGACTAGGTGGGGTTAGGGGCTGGATTAGAGGTTGTTAGGATGGCATTGTTCATTAAATTATAGGAGTGGAAAGGACGAGCTTAATTGAGGAGTGGGGATATTTGTAAAATAAGTGAATTTTCATATTTTTTCCTACCAAAAGGCATAAGTTGCCGCCAAATTTGTTAAATTTGGTTTTGATGAAAATATCGAAATGTTGGGAAAAAGGTTATGTTATCGCGGAGTGTGTTGGGGATAGGGTTTGAAGGTACAACGGCTCCTTGTGTTGGTATGAGAGAGAGAGAGAGAGAGATGTCTTCCATGGTGTTTTTTGCAAGGCTTTTTCAATGGGAGCCACTTCCTTGTTCTCTAATGGTTATTGCATCAAATATTTTTTGACAAATGTCTTTTAGCCTTCAGCGTAAAAACCATACTTAGCAATTTTAAACAAATAAAAAAAATAATATGATTTAAAATTTTAATAAAAATATATATGAATTTGATAAAAATAAAATATCTATTTTATATTTAATATATCGATACAAATTTAATACAATAAATTTTCATATTTTACACATGTTTAATACAATACTATACAAATGTATAAATTGATAAATCTAACCAAAACGGCATCCAACTCTTTTAATATATGTATTTGAAAATCTTTTATGTATGCTCTCATAAAACTTTTTCTTCCTTTGGGTTAGCTTGGCAGCTTAACCCCAGTCCAAGATAAACTCTTAGAAGCAAAACCTTCTCAAAAGTTAACCCCATATTGATCATGAACTGAATTTAGAACGATTCAGTAAAATATAGGAATATGAGTATCCGAGTTTCAAAAAGAAGTAAATGGGTTCAAAAATCTGAAGGAGAAAGAAGAAAGATATTACAGTAAGAATGCTGCATAATTGCACTTCTAATTATATGCATTAAGACCATACAAAGGAAATCTAATCAGCTAGGGGAGGCCATTGTGACTCAAAACCGTGATATCAAACAGGGAATGCATAACTGTTTCTTAATATTTCTCTTCGTACCGGTCATTACAATATCCTCCTGCTCTTCACCTAGCATTGGCTGACTAGCATGATGGACATTCTGAGCAAGATTTAAGAACACTGAATATGTAAGAAATCCCGCTTGAATGATCACCCACAATAATTAAAATCATGTTACCAACAAATATAAAAGCTTAAAGGTGAAGATCATTGGTAAATATTAAGGCACATAATATCTATTGGCATCCAGTATTCACCAATTCTTGCATGAAAGAGAGAGACAGAAACTGAAAACATATTTCTCTCAATTAACAAGTATAACAGCTGTGAGCCAGGGCCTCGTAAATTTAGTGCCAGCAGATTGCCCACCAACTGCTCACCAATACTGAGGACTCTTATTGAGAGTAAATGCCGCTGAGCAGAAGCCCTGAGCATAATCTCATATGCAATGTATTTATTCAGCTCAAAATCCATCTCCACACTTGTCCCTCAACTGTTGCTTTCATTAGTGAGTAAAACTTCTTATTGGAACCGCATCTAGTAACTCAAGCTTTTAGTTCAGTGGTTCTTGGCAACCTCTTTCGCCAAGATATAGATTCTTATCCTAGCTCCCTCATTGTCCAAAAAAAAAAAATATCCTAGCCGCCTCTATTCTGATTGAGATTAAATTTTAGCACAAGCTATTTTATGAGCATATGCTTTGTTCACACTTTCATTCTAGTCGATTTGTGCAGGAGGGATAGTTAATAAACCAGGCAACACAACATCATCGTATATTTTAGAAGATCAGTGATCCATTATTGCCTATCCATCAAAACTCAGAACATGTGACGAAACTTGTTGTCTTTTCCTAGGTAGTACATTTGTTATTTCAAATTCCTATTGAAGATTAAGGCGTGACATTCCAACAAAAACCATATCCAGTACTAAGACTAGATGAAAACCAAAGGTCAATATTATATCAATAAGACTCTGTTACTTGACATGCTTGTTTTGGTCATCATGCAGGATGCATCTACAAATTCTATAATATTTTCTTTGAGTACATAACCAAAGCCATAATGAGCTTAACCCTTCAGAACAAGAGGCAACCACTGGCCAGGAGAAAACATTTGTGAACAAATTCTCAACTTGCTAGGCATTATATAATTTTCTTTCATTCATTTTGATAGTTGTCAGGTTCTTACTCTTTACTTCTATCTCCCTCCCTTCCCTTGTCAGTCTTCTAAGATAAACCAGACATCAATTTCAAACATGAATATACATGCAGAAGGAAATGGTGCATATAAATGCATGCATAATACGAAGGCTATAATTTTTCAGAAGCAAAAGCCAAGGGAAACAATGATCCCAAATACCGAATAAGATTAAAAGTATAAGAAGATTAAACATACCCAGACAGCTTGTCAGAACTGATGTATCAGAGGATGATTCTGTGGACCTGAGGATGAACTAGCCTTGACCTTTTCAAACTCAGTATCAAGCAACTTCTTAAAACCAGTTAACTATAGTTAAAACATGCAAGCAACAGATGGTATTAATTCAGTAAGTGTTAGCAAATCTATATAACAGATTGAATCGCTGATGAATAATATAGGCAGTTTTCATGAGCTTCTACTGGTTCGGCAACAGCATCTTCTAGCTGCTTCACCTAAAAATGAACTGTCATCAATATTCAACTGTATCAAACAGGATTTTAAATTCCGAGTATCTTTAAACTTTTGGCTTTCAAGTCAACATATATCTAAAGCATCAAATATTGGTTACGCATTTATTTCATTTATTCTTCAACATTAGTTGATAGAAATGAGTAGCGTGAAAAGATTCAAAACTACAATTTAACATGATTCCTTTTTTGGCCTTTCATACAGCTGACCCAGAGTTATAGGATATAAGGCTTTGTTTGTTCTTGCTGTTGTTGTATTAGTTTGACCCTCTTTCTAGAACAGGGTAATCTGCAATCTAGAAACTGTAGTGGTAAGGACAGAGATTAGAAGATACAAACCATTCTGGAAAGCTACAAGTCAAATGCAACATTACTTCCAAAACCTCAAAAATCATGATAAACCAGAGACCTAACACAACAGAATAGTTACAATGCTATAACTAAAAACCAAACAAAAAAAAAAAAAACCATTATTATATATTTCACCGCCTTATCCATCAACATTATTAGTCAATCAAAAGGGAAAATTTGAAAACTCAAAACTTAATTTAGTTGGTTCATGCAGTCATCTTTAACCATTCTTAAGAGTGTCATCCAATAGGTCGAGGATTCAAACTCACAACCCTTTACTTTATCCTCAGACTGCTGCCTCACAAAAAAAAAGAGGGGGGGTTCAGAAGAAATTTATATAATCACTGGTTAAACAATGGTTAAAAGTTTTAATTCTTTTTTTTTTAAATTTTCATAGGCTTATCAAGAGACCCAAATCAGAAACAACTTTTAAAAAATAAATTTATTTAATATTAGCATATTTCCAGTAGCTAAACAGGGGAAAAAAAGATAAATTTATTATTTAAAAAGTAAAATTATCATATATAAAGTAAATATAAAGTACCATCTCAGATTGATTATCTCTCTCTAAATCCACAGCGATTTCCTTCATCAAATTCAAAGCTTTTCTTATATCCAGAAAGCAAAAATACAAATTCTCAAAATTACTTTGTGAGATAGACCAAAAAAATTGAAACTTTAATGAAAAAAAAAACTTACAGTGACATGCGTTTGAATCTCGGAGTAGAGATTGAAAGCAGCACGTCTGATTCTGCCAATGACACCGTCGGAGCGAGATGCCGACGTCCTCTCCATTTAGGATTCTGGATCGGATCGGGTCGGGTCGTATTACGGGTTCCACAAACTACTGGGGTTCTTGGAGTACTGATTTGGAGGGAGGGGGAAGAAGAAGGTATAATTCTAGCCAGAAAACGCTGCGTTTTAGTTGCCATTAAACGCACCGTTTCTTTGTCTATTTGTATTTTTATTATTAATTATCAAAAAAGTTTTATTTGTTAGATCATCTTTCCTTCTTTATGATACAATATATATGGTAGTATTTGAACATACAATCGATGAAACTTACTAACTTTTAAAATTAAAAAATACTTTGGAATTTTGAGATATTAACTCAATTTGTTTAGTTTTTTTTTTATTTTTTTTTTGGTCTAAATCTCTCGATATCTCTTAAAGTCACTTTAAGCGTCGACTAATTTAGAGTCAAGATAGCTAAGATCCATAAGGGGGATAAGCTCTCCTAAGCCTATTTTTTATATTCATAAGATTCAAAATCGAGGTCTTACTTAAAAAGAATATAGCTCTTTGTCATTTGGATCAACAAGCATAAGTTTAAGTTTTTCTTTTTTTCTATTAAGTAGACATGTGAATGTATACATATATATATATATATATAATTACTCCAAATAAAATTTAGGATAAAAAATTATTAATTTAATGAGTAAAATTTATAATCATTTTTTATTTTATATTTAACCATTAAATTAATAAATTTTCGTTCTTATTTCCTTTCCATCTTTTCCTACCAAACAAATCCTAAAAGTTTAACTTAAAATGATACTAATTCTCCTACCCTTTAATTCTATCTTCAATAAGGATGACATAACAATGAATTTAGAGAAAAATTCCAAGTTTTGGAAATGAGATGATATAGAAAGTGATCAATTACTAAAGAATGATGGATGAATGATGAAGTAATTATAATTCTGTCATAGACAAAATGCCACTTGCATTTGAGCATTAATCAAGTAGAATTGAAACAAGCATCATTACTCGGATTATATGTAACAAACATCTAAGCATTTTGTTCAATGATAAATACATATATTTGTTTTATTTTGAAAGTTTGGGTTCTAATGTAACATAGAAACATTAGTAATAACAATTTTCTTCTTTTGATGTAAGACATTACATTATCTTTTTGATGATATAACATGGTTCAACAAAATCAACACTAAAGACTCCAACTAAAGCTATGTTTGACAAGAAGGATAAAAGATTAGATAGGGAAGTTTTTTAGTCCAACAGCTTTTGCATAACTTTTCCTCCTACTGACCAAACACAGGCTAAAAAAGTCATAACCCTTTAATTTCTACTATTTTCTTACAAAGACACCCAACAAGAAACTTGTTATTGCCCAATTAATATACAATAAAGGAACAAACTCTCCCACAACCACCTTAGCTCCAAGTTGACCTATCAGCACCAACCAAACAAGCATAGAGTTCATCAATTTGCAAAATTTCATGATCATGGACAGTATTTTCATGAAAGCTAGAGCTTCCTCCTTCACTAGACCCTGTTGAATTGCAAGAAACAAAATTAGGAGGGTGATGGTGTTGATGATATTGATGATGATGATGATTATCTCTTTGGTTATTCATAGCAAACATCATCCATTGAGCTTTCCTTAACTCTTCTTGAAGATACTTAACATCTTTCTCCAGCCTCCTTTTTTCGGACAGTGCATTCTCTAGTTTCACTTGGAGTGTGTTGTAGTCAAGTTCCAAGCTTTGTGTCTTCCACCGGGCTCGCTTGTTTTGGTACCAAATTGCTACTTGTCTTGGAGGAACTCCAAGCTGGTTAGCAAGGTGAAGCTTGAGCTCAGGTTCCAGCTTCTTGTTGGCACTGAAACTTTTCTCTAGCAACCTCACTTGCTCTTGGTTCAGCCTCCTTTTATTGTGTTTAGCGGAACATAGTTTTTGGCTTTGGAAATCCATAATTTTGGAAGGTTTTTTCTAGTTGTTTAAGAGAAGAAGGAAAGTGATTTTGGGTTGGGAATTTCTTGGTGGGTTGATAATCTTATATATATACTCTTATGAGGTTTTGATTAAGTAATTGAAGAAGAAAAAGAGAGATACTAGCTTGGCGGCTTGCATAGCATTCAAGTCATGCACAAAGGATGGTCTTCACGTCGGTTGGTCCTACTCATGCAAATACATATAATATGTTATCTTATAGTAATGATTAGGTAATGATCAATCAATCAAAATTAAAATTGATGATTTGGTTTTTTAATTTTGATTCTTTCCAAAACTTATCTACAATAAATCCAATTATATGTATATATCTGATCTCCAATATACCTTTGTTATTTAAAAAATTAGTGAAAAAGTGAGAAAATAAATAAAAATATAATTTCCCAAACAATAAATGACGAATTTGATTAACAGTTTGAGGGATAAATTAATGTTTTCTAAAAACATATATATTCTTGTAATCCTTTCTTGATATAGGATAATTTTATTTATTAAATTACTTGAAAATTATTCCTATTATTAATGATGCTTTTGATCATCTTAATTATTAGATTTTCATACTCTTCAAGGTCATCTCTTCTGAAGAAAAAAAAAGTTTCATCTTTTAGGGGTTGGGGATGCAACTTGTAACATTATAGGGATTAAGTTTTAAGCAGTATTTTTTTTTTTTTTTTACGTTTAACGATATTTATAAACGTTACTATATGATTTACGTCGTTTGTCAAAACCGTCACTAAAGTGCAATTTATATCTACGTCGAAAAAAATAATGACGTTTTCAAATAAAAACTTAACAAATTTAGAGTTATTTTCAGATAAAAACATTGTTATATTTTGTAAGAGATTATTTAAGGTATTTTTTAGTTAAAAATACTTTGAATAATCCCAAAAAATGAAAGAGAATTATTGAAAGCATTTTTGACAAAAAACGTCTTAAATAATCTCCTCTGAAAAGAGATTATTCTTAGTTTAAATAATACCTTTTAATTATAAAAATACTAAAATAGCTTAATTGGTTAGAGCATACAGTTGTTAACTATAAAATCATTGGTTTAATATTTTCCTCTAGTATTTTTTTGAGTTTTTTAAGAGATTATTTCAAGTGTTTAGGTCAATAAATGTCATAAAAATATATTTTTAATAGCATTTTTAAATCTAAACGTCGCTATATAAGAATTTATTAGTGTTTTATAAAAAAACGTCATTAACCTTATAAAAACATAAAATTTTGTGACATTTATTTAAAATTATCGCTAAAAAACAGCCACTAATTTTTTTTTTTTTTTGTAATGTAAGTAACGTGAGAGATTGGAAACATATATGGCATCAACATTACAACGAAAGCTTGCATAAGCAAATTCTCTCAAAACTCAGATCCTTTCACTTTGTCAAACAAGAAAGAAAAGGCAATAAACAAAACAAAGTCTTACATATCCACTTGCTTCATTTCGAAAAAAATATTATACAAAAAGTTTGACAGAACTAAGGTCTTCGCAGTTGTTGATATTTGACTGTCTGACTCCCAATTATTTTGGAATATAAGGGAAGTTTTTAGTGGGGAAACCCAAAAAAAAAAAAATTATGAAAAGTAGTACTATATATAGAGAGGGAGAATCTTAGATTTGTTTTACCGAAAATGGAGATAATCTTAGGTTTAACATACATTAATAAATGATAGAGCGATCTTTTAATCAATTGATATGACATTAAAGTTGATGTTTAAAAATTATGGATTTAAAAGAGTTTATGCATGTAAATTTTTTTTAAATCAAGTAAATATAGAAGTAGAGGTTCAAAAATAAATTAAAAATTAAAAAAAAATGTACATTAATAAATTATGACTTTTAAAGGTAATTTTAACAATAATCCGGACCAACAATGCAACATAATTTTGTTGCTTTTATTTCATTAATCTTATAATAATTATATCCTCAAAAGCTTATTTTGTAACTTTTATAATTCGAATATTTGAATCTTTATAATTCATATAAATAGATAAATTATGTTTTAAATATTTTAATTGATTAAATTTTATTTTTTATTAATAAATATAATTTCGACTAAAATTTTGTAATAATAATGAAATAACGTTAAACTTTCTTGATATCAAATCAAGAAAAAAAAAAGATGAAAATCTTGAAAAAAAAAATTGTCAAGATCCCTATTGCCTTGGGGTTACATCAAATTGAAAATTGTGTTGTTTTGGAGGGCAACAGGGTTCCCCACATTTGGATGCTTTGGTGGTTGAAGGCTCCATTCATGCACCCCTGAATTGTGATGTTAGCCTCTGGGGCCTTTTCTTTCTTGAAGCTCCTAAGACCAAATTTCCTTTGTCAAGTTTTTGGTGAATTTTTCAATGCTTTCACTGTGCTTGTGTATTCAAAGGTTTTGATTGCTTCTTCCCATCCACCCCCATGCATAAATGAGAAAGCTAGATAGCTAACTTAGTCAACTAAAAAAATTTATTGGTGAAAGGATCGATAATCATTTAAGTTTTTTGATATCTTATTATAATTAATTAAATTTTAATATTTTATTATAATAAATCAAATCTTAAATTTTTTATTTTTGAATCAATTTAATTTTTAAATATTTTATTTAATTATTCGAATTTATCTTCGAATTTAACGGAAATAAATGTTGACAGTTAATTAATTTTTGCCTAATAAAAACTCAATTAATAAAAATAATTATTTGAGAGTTTAATTAATTACAATAAAAAAATAAAAGCTTAGATAATTATGGAATTTTTGTTGAAAGGTAATTTTTTTTTACCTGTCACCAAATTTATTTTATTGAATTATTCCGCTGTAAGACATTAAATCTCTTTAACTTAGAATTTTGATGCCTTTGTCTCAAAGAAATGGCAGAATTTAATGGATTTACATTTGAACGAATATTTTAGGAGAAATTTGCTTCATTGGTTCTGACTTTTTTATATTAAATTTTTAATTACTTCGGTAATTTATATATTTTTATTTGTTTATTTTATTTTAAACAAATATAAAATACAAAAATTATCTTATCAATTTATTAAGCACGTCAAATATGAAATAATTTTTTTTATTTTTGTCAAATTCATATATAATTTTTGTTAAAATTTTAAATAATTTTATTTTTATATAGTTGTAATATTATTTTCATATCGTATTATCGTATTATATTTATAATTACCTTATTTATTTTTAACTTGTATGTCAGATACTGAAAATTTCTTCCTTCCTATTTGTGGATTAATGTACTCAACTAGATATTCATGTCCAACATGAAAAAGTTAAAATTATTTTCGTAAGTTTTTTTTTTTTTTTCTATTGTTATGAATGGGTTCATAACTGACATAAATTGAAGCCAAATGGGACAACAATTTGATAGGGATGGACTAAGAAAAACGAGAGTTAATGAAATGTTGCGTATAGATGGACCAAGTTGATCCACTGTCGCCATTGCGTCCCTTGTCGATGACAAAAGACTTGTCCAAAATTAAAGAGTAGTGCAATTTTCCCTATGAAATGAAAGACAATCCCTGCCCACAAAAATGCCCATTCCAAATTCTTGAGCTGTCAAAGTTCTTTTTCTCCTTTGGAATATCAACTTGATTTTTTTTTCTTTTTATAATGTCCAATTTGACCCATAAATTATTGTAATATGTTGGATTTGGTATTTAAACAAAAAAAAAAAAAATTCTAATCAAGTACCTAAAATACATTTTGGTGTATTAATTTATCCCAACAATTAACACTGTTAATCTTAAAGACTAACGTGACATTAATATCTAATAAAATGTTGATAAGTATTAAAAAAATTCACTCAATGCCACATCATCAATGTCATGTCAATATTAAAAGAAATTTTTTAAAAAATATAAAAAATTCAAAAAATTCTATAAAACACAAGTTTTTTTTTTTTTCAATTCATTTAAACATTTTCTCTAAAAAAAAACTTCAAACACTCTTAATCCTTAAGAACACTAATCATTCTCAAACTCAGAAATCGATGGATCACCACCATATTGGCTGCCATCTTCGTCATCGCTTGCCAATCGCTAGTACCGATTTAAGCCTAGATTTCACTTGTCAATTCTTTTCGACCTTTTCTTTCATATTTTAACCTTAATTTTTTTCAAAAAATAACTTTTAAAAACTTAGATCTGACATCAAAGATTTGGCAAAAATTTTCTTTTCATCGATTCTCATTTCTCCAATGGCCCTTATCTCTTTGTTGTTTCTCTCCTTCAAGCCTGCATACTCTCTAAAGATATAGCCTAAAACCATTCCAAACACCTAATCTTGAATCTCAATTTCAATGTTAAATTTTTTTTGTCCAACTGTTGTTTTGTGGTTCCCCTTTTAGGGATGCAGTTTTTTTTTTTTTTTTTGTGTTTTTTTATAGGTCTGGATAAAGTGTTGATAGACAGGGGTTTAGGCGTTGGGAGTAGCATTTGTTGACCTTTTGTTTTCGTTGTGAAGGAGACTGACAATCTTGATGGTTGATGGCTATCTGTGTTGTATGCAATGGTGGTGACTATAGGTTTTCATTTTTGGGTTATTTGGTTGATTCGGTTGTTGAGATGGGGTCTCGGCAAGGGAAAGCTTTTGTAGGAGAAGTGGGGTTATGATGGATGGTGATAATCAATTGGTTTGTTTGCCGTTAATTTCGTGAAGGTACCAATTTTGATTTCACAAGCTTGCAGCTTCAAATTCACAAGTTTCTATTTTGTTAAAATTTCAAAGAGTTCTTTCAATTTGGGGTGGATGGTGACATGAATTTAGGGTGCATGGTTTGAGGGAGAGTTAATTTTTTTTTCATAATATATGACCACATAAGCATGACATATAAATAACAACTTCGTAAGCATGACATATAAACAATAACTTAAGTTGAAATGTCATTTTATGTGGTTTTTTATTGGCTAAAATAGCTAAGTCAACAACTCTTCTAATGAAGTTAACTTTTAAACCAATTGATATACGATTTGAGAGTTTAGATACTTATTTAGCAATTTTTTTAATTTATATACTAAATTCAACAAATTACAATA